CAATCCCAGCACTAAAAACTAGATCCATGGTTCTCAAAGTTTGGTGTGCATAAGAATCACCCCCAGTGCTTGTTAAAAATGCAGATGGTCCAAGTCTTATCCCAGGCATGTTGGTCATAGGTTGGGGATGGAGACCAAAAATCTGCATTTTAACAAGCAGCTCAAAAGATTTTTATGGACTCCATTTCCAAAAGCACTGAATGTAGTCACTGTTGAGTGGTTCAATCAACTGCTGAAACTGCCTTCATCATACGGAAGCAGCAAGTCTGTGGGTACCAGCCTCAGTTTCACCGTGTAGAAAGAAGATCATTTAATTTAACAATTGTAAGAAAATGAATAAGTGAAATTAAGGATCCAATAATGTGGGCCAAAGAATGCAGAAATTAAAGAAATAAAGCTCCAGTATGTTTTAAAAAGAGCTTATGGGATAATTTATCAGATTTTTAAAATAGTAGAATGTGGGTTATACACATTCATTAATTTCAAGATTAACAGGACGAACATAACTATGCAATAAAATCAATGTTTTTGTTTTGTTTTGTGAGAATAATATTTGCTGCTTGACGAGAAAAGATGAATTCCAGAAGAAAATAAATGAGTAGTCCTTTTAGTATAAGTAAGAAGACTGTCAGAGTAAAAGGTCATGCTCTGGTTATGTGGACAGAATGCTCTACTGAATGTTCTGGTAGAAACATTTCTGGCTTCAGAATATAGCTAATTACATTTGTTTTGTTTCTCTTTGTTTTGTTTTGGAGACAGAGTCTTGCTCTGGCACCCAGGCTGGGGTCACTGCAACCTCCACCTCCAGGGTTCAAGCGATTCTCATGCCTCCGCCTCCTAAGTAGCTGGGATTACATGTGTGAGATACTGTGCCCGGCCATGGATAAAGATATTTTTATGTTTTTGAGCATTTCAGAGTTCCACAAGATATTCTGGGAGAATCTTGAAGAAGTCAAATATATGATTTCCTAACACTCTTTTTTTTTTTTTTTTTTCTTGAGACCGAGTTTTGCTCTCGTTGCCCAGGCTGGAGTGCAATGATGCAATCTTGGCTCACTGCAGCCTCTGCTTCCCAGGTTCAAGCGATTCTCCTGCCTCAGCCTTCCAAGTAGCTGGACTACAGATGCGCACCACCACACACAGCTAATTTTTATATTTTTAGTAGAGATGGAGTTTCACCATGTTGGCCAGGATGGTCTCCATCTCTTGACCTCATGATCTGCCTGCCTCAGCCTCCCAAAGTGTTGGGATTACAGGCATGAGACACCATGCCCAGCCAATTTTCTAACATTTTCATTTCCTGCTTGAATAATATATATTGAGGCATGAAATATTAATTGTGGCTAGGAGATGGTCAGAAAGATTTGTTTATTTTTTCAGATTATTTGACTTTTGTTTTAATATGGGTTGCTTTTTTGCTGGGGAGGCAGTACATAGTCAGGAAAGAGAGAAGTAAAAAATACTTTAAAGGAAAAAAAATTGCCAAATTGCCAAACACAAGTTTAAACATCTTTGTATATTTCCCATTAGTCTTTGCCTTGACTTGGATATATTTTTCCCCATTTGTTGGTTTCATACTGCATATATATCATTGCATTTTATTTCTTAAAAATTAAACATTATAAGCACTGCTCTGTGCTGTTACATTCACTTAAAACCCATCTCATTGTTAAAGGGTATAATAGTCTCTGGAGAAGTCCTTTAAAATTACACATCTAGAGGGTTTTTGTCTTCTGCTAATATATAAATAAGGCTGCTATTAACAACTAGAAGCCTATTACTTTTTTTTATGTTATTTATAATGATATCTTGATAGATTCGCAGAAGTCATACAACTGGGTCAAAGGTTATGAACATTTAAGGATGATGACATTTTGTCAAATTGCTTTCCTAAAGCGTGTCCACTGACATTATCTTACCCTTTCTGGTATTTATATTATGTTCCTATTTCCTCCATTCCTTCTATAATATTTATCAGGGGCCTGTTTTAGCCATCATAGAAAAAGATCATTGCTAATGGGACAGAAGCCGGTCTTATCTTGTTTTAAATTGCAGCTGAGTTGCAACATTGATTATTACTGAGTTGCAACATTTTCTCCCACATATTGGCTAACAAATTATACTTTTTCTTTAATCATTTAGTAGTTATTTTTAAAATCAGCTTGTGAGAGGGCTTCTATAATGAAGAATTTACTCCAGGTTTACTGAATGTGCTGCAAATGTGTTATCAGAGTTGACTAACAAAATCTTTGGCTTTCCCCAGGCACAGTGGAGTCATGGCTTCTCCGATCATCCTTGGGCTCACTCATTTGCCTTTGGGTTTGCAAAGCTTCTCATTCCAGCTCCATCAAGATTGAAGCTTCTGAAGGCTAACCAGCACCCTAGTATTTTCCTGTGGTCACCACTTTTCAGCCAGACCCAGAGGCAGGAAAAATATCCACAGCTGTTTCTGGTAACCAGGCGCTGCCGCTATCTGCTGGGCACTATCTTTAAAAAACAGGAGTTGCCACTTGAAACCTCCAGTGTCTTATGAAATGGTTTTACGTATGAGATTAGAGCCATTTAAGCTATCTTTTTCCCTGAAAAGAACCAAAGAAGGGAGAAAGAGAAGAGGACGCATACAGCATGATAGATATCACATACAACAAATTTTGATTAAGAATCTATGCTACCACTACATTAAAAATTGCCCTAATTTTCTCAGAACAAAAAAAAAAATTGTCTCAGAAAATGATTTTAAGGATATGAGAATTGATTTTCTGGATCCCTGGACCTGCAATCTAGCCAAATTTTGCCTCAGGGCTATCTCTGAGGGCCCTGCTATTCGAAGTATAGTCTGAAAGGAGCAACTTCAGCTTTACCTAGGAAGTTGTTACACAGGCAGATCCAGCCTCAGACCAATTGCAGCAGAGTCTGGTAATGTGTATGCATGTTAAATTTGAGAAGCAGACCACAGCTCACTGTAACTTTGAACTCCTAGGCTCAAAGGATCCTCCTGCCTTAGCCTCCTGAGTAGCTGGGACTACAGGCATTTGCCCCATACCCAGCTAATTTTTTTTTTTGAGACGGAGTCTCACATTATTACCCAGGCTGGAGTGCAGTGGCATGATCTCAGCTCACCACAACCTCCGCCTCCCACGCAATTCTCCTGCCTCAGCCTCCCTAGTAGATGGGACTACAGGCATGCGCCACCATGCCTGGCTAATTTTTGTATTTTTAGTAGAGATGGAGTTTCACCATATTGGCCAGGCTGGTCTCAAACTCCTGACCGCAAGTGATCCACCCACCTCAGCCTCCCAAAGTGCTGGGATTACAGGCGTGAGCCATCACACCCACAATAAGCCATTTTATTTTTTAATGGTATCTTTGAGTTTTAAAAACTCCTTTGGATGTAAAACCCTCAGTTAAATGTTTGCTGCATAACAAACTACACAAAACCGCAGAGGCATATAACAACAAGCATCTTTTGCTAATGCTCTGGGATAGTCAGCTAGGTAGTCCTGCTGATGTATCTGGGGATCTATTGGCTGATTTAGGAAGACCTGGACTGGGATGGCTGGGGTGACTTACTGGGTTCCATATGTCTCTCATCTTCAAGTATGCTAATCCTGGCACATTGCCATGGCAATGGCCGAGGTGTTAGAGATAAGAGAAAGCATGCTGGACATCAGGAAGTGTAAGATTGGGCTTGACATGTTCTCACCACAGTCACATTCTACTGACCAAAGCAAGACACAGGCCATCCCAGTTTTAAGGCGATGGAAAAATAGACATTGCCTCTTTAATTAAAGGAATTTCAATGTCACATGACAAAGCTATGGCTACAGGGAGTGATGAAGAATGAGGCTATCACCAAAATCTACTGTACATAATGATTGAAAATTCATTACAATAACAATTTTTGACTTAGTGTTCAAGTATTGTACTTTTATAAAACTGTCCATGTTTTCTGAAGATTTTTCAATTGTATATATATATATATGTATTGGGATGGAGTCTCACTGTTGCCCAGGCTGGAGTGTGGTGGCATGATCCCAGCTAACTACAACCTCTGCCTTCCAGGTTCAAGTGATTCTCATGCCTCAGTCTCCCAAGTAGCAGGCTCCTGCCACTCTACCCAGCTAATTTTTGTATTTTTAGTAGAGATGAGGTTTTGCCATGTTGGTCAGGCTGGTCTCGAACTCCTGATCTCAAGCGACCCACCCACCTTGGCCTCCCAAAGTGGTGCGATTACAGGCGTGAGCCACCGCACCCAGCCATATACATATTTATTTCATTTTATTTTATTTTATTTTATTTTATTTTATTTTATTTTATTGATACGGAGTTTCACTCTTGTTGCCCAGGCTGGAGTGCAATGGCATGATCTTAGCTCACCACAACCTCCATCTCCTCGGTTCAAGTGACTCTCCTGCCTCAGCCTCCCGAGTAGCTGGGATTACAGGCATGAGCCACCATGCTTAGCTAATTTTGTATTTTTAGTAGAGACGGGGTTTCTTCATGTTGGTCAGGCTGGTCTTGAACTCCCAAACTCAGGTGATCCTCCCCGCCTCAGCCTCCCAAAGTGCTGGGATTACAGGCGTGAGCCACCATGACTGGCCTGTGTGTATGTGTATATGTATGTGTGTATATATATATATTTTTTTTTTTCTTTTTTTTTTAAAGCCAAAAGAAGAATTGCGAAAACATCTCAAAGATCTGGGACCTATACTCAGTTAGTCAGCACATACCTTTCCACTGTCATATGTGAAATGAGAAAAAGAGGCCAGGCCTGGTGGCTCAGGTCTATAATTCCAGCACTTTGGGAGGCTAAGGCCAGAGGATTGCTTGAGCTCGGGAGTTTGAGGCCAGCCTGGGCAACACAGTGAGAACTTGTCTCTATTTTTATATAAAAATAAGTTTTAAAAAAAAAGAAAAAGATGGTTAATGACTCGGGGAGAATACTTGAGGAAACGTGAAATAGAATATTTCAAGTTGTACCAAAGAAAAGTGCCATTTTTTTTTATTTTAAAATAAAAAATAGAAGTTTTTGTTGAGTTCTTTCAATTACATGTTTTTCTTCTTCCTGGAAAAGTTTTTAAATCAACCATTCATAATTTGACCAAAATTTTTAAAAACTGATATTTTGTAAATGTGTCACAGACACACGGGACAGAACCCTACCTTTTGTAGAGGACCTTACTCCAAATAAAGTTATAAGTTTTTCAGTAATTCTCCACTGAGTTTTCTGGTAATTTTACAAAAGCAGGCCCATCACTGTCCACTGGAAATGAGTTAGACAGATAGATATTCTTTCACTTTATCCATGATTTCGTTCATCTTGTCAGCTGGAATTAACATCACAGTTCACAAAGGCTTCATTGGTACGTCATCAAAAGACCATCTGCCACCCAGACAGGTGTCGCTCTCCTCCTGCACTGAGTAGCTGAACCTCAGAATTGCCTTCTCATAGAAAAACTCTTCCTCTGCATTTGCAAACATTAACTCATCTTTCTTTTGGTTGCTCCATTTCTTTCTGGAATTGTTTTTTCCTGCTTCCACAAATGTCTTACTAATCAGAAGGTAAAAGCAGCACTTCCCAGATGGCTTATTGGTTTTGTGTGCCTCCACTACTTCTTTCTGAAGCTGCTGGTACATGGGCAGAGCAATCTGTGGAGGGACATTAACGAATCTTTCCCTTAGGAGAAGGCCCACAGGCTTGGTGGTGTCATTTAAAAGCTTGTCCAGCTGTTCAACCATGCTCTTTTCACAGTTCTTCTCACAGAAGCTTAGAATCAACTCTTTAATTTGTTCTGCACACTGAGTACCCTTTCTTTCAGTTAAATTCAAAAGGCTTATGAAACCAAAAACCTCATCTTCATCCACATCATCATCGCTGTCTTCTGAAACATCCGTTTGCTTAATCACACTCCCAATATGGTTCTGTTGAATTAAGACATCTGTTAGCTCTGCAGTGTTCACAGGAGCCTTTAGAAAAAGCTCGTCAACGACCTTGTCGTCTTCATCTTCTTCGTCACTGTCGTCATCGTCTTCGTCCTCATCCTCGACTTCATCTTCCTCTTCGTCATCGCGCTGGACCGGGGCGCCCAGGGGCTGCGGAACCCCACTTCCCACAGCCCTCCGTTTGGCCCTGGACGCCATGTTACCGCAGAAAAGTGCCATTTTAATTGAAAATTTTACCTCCTCCAGCAGGGGCGTTGATGTACTAACAAGCCACTTTCAGAAAAACAATGTGATCAAGTACAGTTTTCATTCTTTTATGTCAACATATTTTTTGATATTATTTTTAGTATTCTATACTGATTTAAATCCTTGCCTTTTTAAAATCAGGATAGTCATGCTTACTAAGTGACCCTTATGAAAGGTTTATGAAACAAATGTCAGGGGTGATTCAGACTTCTGCTTTCCATTTAACTTAATTTAAATTGCTATTTGCTTATTTTAAAAAATAAACTTTGTTTCTTAAGATAACACTGCCTCTGATGCTATCAGTAGCCCCATCCTGATATTTAAAAAATAACCTTTTAACTAGAATTTTCAAATACTTTAAATGCATGTGTAATCACTTAGGCTTGGAGCATTTCTTGACCCATTCACATTTAGTCCTATTGGTTGGTAGGCAGTAACTGGAAAATGCAGCATGTCTCTCTGATAGAAAGTGAGAAGTAAGACTTGGCGGCACTCAGTGATCAGGCCATAGTTCAATGAGTCTTTGCATGCAGTTAAGCTGGAATCTGTTTCAGAGGTTTGAATATGAGATTTGGGCATATCCTAGCTGATATGGTTTGAGTTTGCCCCCATCAAAACATGATCCCCAATTTGGCTGTGTTGAGAGGTGAGTGTATTGGGAGGTGTGTGGGTCACAGGGGTGGATCCCTTATGAATGACTTGGTGCCATTCTCCCAGTGGTGAATTGTCGCTCTCCAGACTAGATTAGTTCCATGGGAATGTTCCTTCAAGAGTGGGTTGTTATTGTTAAATTAAGTTTGACCCAAAGCTGCCTCCTTACATGTTTTAAGTTGGCCCTAAAGGTTTCTTCATACATAACAAACTGTAACCGACCTGAATGCATAAACACACTATAACCTACTCTTGGTCTGGTCACTCAGTTTTGCCCTGTCAAAGGCAGTTAGCTGTTCAAACCATGTCAAATAAGTCAAACACCAGGCTGTGGTCAATCCAGCTATTTCTGTACCTCACTTCTGTTTTCTCTATGTCAGTTTCCTGTTTCTGTGAATAAATCTTCCACCAGGAGGCAGTACTGGAGCCTCTTTGAACCTATGTGCTTCGGGGCTGCCCGACTGGCAAATCCCAAATCGCTCTTTGCTCAGTATAACTCTTTCAATGTAATTTGTCTAAGGTTTCTTCTTCAATCATTATAAAGCCACAACACTGGCCGGGCATGGTGGTTTATGCCCTCCCAGTACTTTGGGAGGCTGAGGTAAGCGAATCACATGAGGTCAGGAGACCAGCCTGCCCAACATGGAGAACCCCCTCTCTACTAAAAATAAAAATAAAAATTAGCCAGTCATGGTGGCACATGCCTTTAATCCCAGCTACTTGGAAGGCTGAGGCAGGGGAATCCCTTGAACCTGGGAGGCGGAGATTGCAGTGAGCTGAGATCGGTCCAGTGCACTCCAGTTTGGGTGACAGAGCAAGACTCCATCTCAAAAAATAAATAAATAAATAAAAGTAAAAAATAAAGCCATGATGCCCTCGGATTTTCCCCTCTTCTCATGTGTCTATTTCCCCTTGATCTTCTCCACCATGTTATGATACAGCCCTGCCCAGAAGCCAGAACAGATGTCAGCACTATGCTTCTTAAACTTCCCAGCTGGCAGAACCATGGGCTAAATAAAGGTTTTCTTTTTTCTTTTTTTTTTTTTTGAGATGGAGTCTCGATTTGTCACCAAGGCTGGAGTGTGCAGTGGCGCAATCTTGGCTCACTGCAACCTCTGCCTCCCGGGTTCAAGTTATTCTCCTGCCTCAGCCTCCCAAGTAGCTGGGACTACAGGTACCACCACCATGCTCAGCTAATTTCTGTATTTTTAGTAGAGATGGTGTTTCATCATATTGGCCAGGCTGGTCTCAGACTCCTGATCTTGTGATCCCCCCACCTTGGCCTCCCAAAGTGCTGGGATTACAAGAGTGAGCCACCTCGCCCAGCCTAAATAAAAATTTTCTTTATAAATTACCCAGTCTCAGGTATTCTGTTATAGTGACACGAGCTATAGACTAAGACACTAGCCTCAATGGAACAAGTATTGCCTTTGTAAATTGCTGCCCACTGACATCAGCACTCTCCATAATCTGAGATCTAGAAAAACATTGTACAACATTATCTACGCAACATAGTGCTGTAGAAATTCACCTCCTCCCCTTTGCCCTTTTTCTTCATGTTTGTCACTGGTACCCACAGGCATAGTTTATAGGAACTGGTGGCCCTCTGAGCTCAGGCAGAAGTCAGAGAGATTTTCAAATGGAAGGATACCCTGACATGGATGTGAAGCAACTGGAACTCTTTTTTTTTTTTTTTTTTTTGAGATGGAGTCTTGCTCTGTCATCCAGGCTGGAGTGCAGTGGCATGATTTTGGTTCACTGCGACCTCTGCTTCCCAGGATCAAGCAATTCTCCTGCTTCAGTCTCCCAAATAGCTGGGATAACAGGTGCAGGCCACCATGCCTGGCTAATTTTTGTATTTTCAGTAGAGATGGGGTTTCATTTCATCACATAGGCCAGGCTGGTCTCGAACTCCTGGCTTTAAGTGATCTATGTGCCTCAGCCTTCCAAAGTATTGGCATTAGAGGCATGGGCCACTGTGCCCAGCCTGGAACTCTTATATGCTGGTATGAATGTAAAATGACACAACCTGTTTGGCATAAAGTTAAACATACACCTATCTCATGACCTTACAATTCTACTCCTAGGTATTTTCTCAAGAAAGATGAAAACATATTCCACACAAAGACTTACACAACGATGTTTACAATACCTTTAATTCATAACAGCCGGAAACTGTAAACGACCCAAATCTCTCAGTCAATGAATGGATAGACAAATTGTGATGAATCTGAACAATGGAATGCTGCTCAGCAGTAAAAAGGAACAAACTACTGATATCCTCACCAACATGGAGGAATCCCAAACATATTACATTTGTGTGACAGAAGCCAGATACAAAGAATTCCCATTTTCATGGAAATCTAGAAAATGTAAATTAATTACAGGTTGCCTGGAGGTGGGGTGATGGACAGAACTGACTTGACTGCAAAGGGTCAACAAGGGATGACAGAAATGTTCTGGGTGTTTGCTGTTTGTTTTCTGTTTTTTGAGACAGGGTCTTGCTTTGTCGTCTAGGCTGGAGTGCAGTGGCGCTATCATGGCTCATTGCAGTCTCAACCTCCTAGGTTCAGGCAATCCTCCCACCTCAGCCTCCCAAGTAGCTGGGCCTACAGGTACATGTCACCATGCCTGGCTAATTTTTTTTTTTTTTTGGAAAGAAAGGGTCTCATCATGTTCCCAGGCTGGTCTTAGCCTCAAGCTACCCTCCTGCTTCAGCTTCTCAAAGTGATGGAATTACAGGCATGAACCACTGTGCCCAGCCAAAATGTTATATATTTTTATTCTGATGGTATATATACATTTTTCAAAATTCATTGAATTTGCAATGGATGCAGTTTTTGGTACATAAATTTTATCCCAATAAAATGGAAGTTTTTAACAAAAAAGACTCAACATCATCAATCATGAGGAAATTGCAAATCAAAATCATAGTGAGATATCACTTCACACCCATTAAGATAGCTATTATTAAAAAACGACAATAAAGAACACATGTTGACAAGGATGTGGAGAAATTGGAACCTTTGCCATGTCTGGTGGGCATGTAAAGTGTTGCAGCTACTATAAAAGACAGTATGACAGTTCCTCAGAAATTAAATATAGAATCACCATGTGATCCAGTAATTCCACTCCTAAGTATACACCCAAAATAACTGCAAGTGGAAACTCAAACAGATAGTTGTACATCCATGTTTCTTAGAGACTTATTCACAATAGCTAAAGGGTGGAAACACCCCAAATGTCTAACAGTGAGTGAATGGCTAAATAAAATGTGGTATACACACACAGTGAAATATAATTTGGCCACACACAAAAAAATACACTTTTGAGAACTGCTACAACATGGATGAATCTTGAATATGTATGCTAAGTGAAGTAAACCAGATGCAAAACAATCAATATTGCAAGTTTCACTTATATGAGGTACCCAGAGGAGTCAAATTCATAGAGACAAAAAAAAAATAGAAAAAAAGGGGCTGTGGGACATGAGAAGGCATAGTTATTGTTTAATGGGTATGGAGTTTTAGCTGAGAAACATTAAAAAGTTCTGGAAATGGATGGTGGAAATGATTATACAGCCCTGTGAATGTTCTTAATGTCCATGACTTTACCTTTAAAATGCTAAAATTTCGAGCCGGGCGCAGTGGCTCAAGCCTGTAATCCCAGCACTTTGGGAGGCTGAGGCAGGTGGATCACAAGGTCAAGAGATTGAGACCATCCAGGTCAACATGGTGAAACCCTGTCTCTACTAAAAATACAAAAAATTAGCTGGACATGGTGGTGTGTGCCTGTAATCCCAGCTACTCAGGAGGCTGAGGCAGGATAATTGCCTGAACCCAGGAGGCGGAGGTTACAGTGAGCCGAGATCCTGCCATTGCACTCTAGCCTGGGTAACAAGAGCGAAACTCCGTCTCAAAAAAAAAAAAAGCTAAAATTTATGTTTTGTCTATTTAACACAGTAGAAAGTGAGAAGGAAAAGGAAAGAAAAAAGAAAAAGAAGTAAAGAAAGATGGAGGGGAAAAAAGGAAGGAAGGAATCCCCTAATCAACTGTGCCTGTCTTGGGGCAGAACCGGAAAATGGACAGATGACTTACAGACTCCACGGCCCCTGCCAAGACCCCACTCTGACTCTGACTCTGTCAATCAACAAACATCTTGTTTTAGGAAGTGGAAACAATTGATTCTGCCAGGCACATGCGACATGGGAGAGGCTTAATGAAAAGGCATCTGGGTGAGGAGCCGGATCTGCAGACAGATCAGTGGAGAAAGGCACAACACAAGCAAAGCCTCCAGGGTGG